TCCTTCCTTCCTTCCTTCCTTCCTTCCTTCCTTCCTTCCTTCCTTCCTTCCCCTAATTTATGATTAAATGCCTGGTTCCATTTAAGGAACTGTAGATTTAAACAAATGTAAACAACTTCAGTTATGTATGTTATCTATATCTATACACTGCAGTTATTAGAAATTTGTTTCAAACTGTCCCTAATAAACAAGTGTGATTTTAAATATAAAACAGGAAGGCTCTTTCCTAGCCAGATATATATAGTAGTAGAGTTTGGAAACATCATTTGCCTTTGCCAATTCAACCGAAATCAAGATGGTATTTCCAAATTGACTTTTTGCTCATTCAGTTAGGCAGAACTAAAAACTATATGCCAAAGTTTTTTAACCATGTTATTTGAATTGGTCATACTGGCTGAATTCACATTTTATACAAAGCCATAAACCACAATTTACAAATCACAAAGTTGGGTTCATACATCACTCTAAGCCAAAGGTGTACATTTTTTAAAAAAACAAAGTCCTCACTTTGCTTTTGAACAACATGCCAAGGGCTGCATGCCAGAACATGGGTGGGCCCAGGATTTTAAAAAAAAAAATAAATGGATGAACTGTGGGCAGTAAATATGAAATGTGCATGGCAACATCACTAGGCAAACTTGGGTTCTTTCATACTGTACTTGTGATGTCACATGCAAGGGTGGACCTTCAGTCATGATGTCACAATACATGTTTGGTCATTTGGATGAAATCTCAGCTTAGTGGCTACAATAAAATAAAATTTGATCTGATTTCATGTTAATTTATACTTAACTAAAGTTATACTAATCAGCTTTTGGGAAAACTCTGGGGGTTACTCTTAAAGCTTTCAGGGGACAGAAAGGACATTTTTCCTCTAAACCAAAACCAAACTTCCTTGTAGTTTAGCACAATAGGTAAATCCACTCATTTTGCATCAAATACAAGATGCGCCTTTTTCCAGAGAAGGGCGTGTAACAAAATGCCCCATGATGTACTCAAATGGGGCTGTAGCTTCCAATTCCCAGCATAATCAATGAAACACTTTTCTGGTACTTAAATTGTGAAAGCGCTTGCACCACCTACTGATTAATGCTTCTTAAGAAACTCCTCATTGAATAATCTGTCATCTAGCTAAGCAGACAAACCGTGCTTCTTAATCAGTTCTGCACTGACTCATCTACCAGTTAGCTAAATAAATTAATAATGCATTTTATCTTGATCAGCACTAAAATATGGCAGTGTGAAATATCTCAAAAAAATTTTTTTTTAATTTTTTCCCCCTAAGCTTATATTTTGAGTTAGAATCAGAAGTCATGACAATGTCTACATCTTTCTCCTGGTTTCCTCTTTTTTCCTTACTTACAAGAAAGATTGTCAGGAGCAACCAAACCTCCTTTGGTATTTGCCAGAGGCACAGATGGCATTTAGAGGATTCAGGTGTGGTCAAAATAAAATATTCACTATTTATGTAAACAAACATTGCGCTTAAAACTTCAATTTAAAAAATATACCGTTTAGATTTTTGTACATTCCTATCCAAAATGCTTGGGATTTGCTTTCAAGATTTTCTGCAAGTTCTGTTAGAAAGTTTGCTTCAGCTGTATCCGTTACTGAAACCAGAGAGGCATCTGTAAAAAATCAACAACACCCTCAGAGAAAATATTTGAATAAGTCTTTGACCCAGAGCAAGTTGAGTAGCTAATTAAAACAAAGATTTTGTTTATCACCAGAACATTATTTTTCTTCTTATTCGCCACTTGTTTACGTTTGGCTACACTGATAAGCCAGTCACCTAAATTTTCTTTACAAATAAAGAACGTATGTGCATGTCTATTATATTGTTCCCTTTCAGACATTGTGCAAAGTGCAGAAAAAGAGTAAGCAGTGGTAAACAAAAGAAATTAAAGCAGGAGATTAAAGGGGGGGGAACTATATATTTAAATAAATCTAATTTATAGCAACACTATTTACTATATATCCTCATACCTTTCTAGCTCTGCAAACCATCCTCGTTTCCTCCATGTCCACACATCAATTTATAAATTGCTTCTTCTTTAAAATTCTCTCTTTCTGAGGATCTCATCAACTCCAGCCATTGACAAATTTCTTGGGATTCCCCTTCCTCCCCATCCATTCACTTTTACGTCATGCAAAAAGTATTTGTTTCGTGATCCAATCCTTATTCATTCCCTCTCAAACCACCTCAATGTTCTTCTTTCACATTAGTGTTGTACTGGTCACTCACTTTTGTATTCAATCCCCACTCCTACAGCATCCCATTCCAACTGCATTTAGTTTACTTTTCTGTTTCTCCTTAGATACCCAAATCTCACTTCCGTATAACAAAATGGTCAGAGGCAAGCTCTTATAGACAGCCATTTTCACTTCTTCTGACAAGCCTTCATTCCTTGCAACACCAACCCACATCCTTTTTATTTAAAACATTTGCAAATCTTAATGTTTCTCCAGCAATTGTCCCTTCTACTTGCTCTAAGATAAAGTCAGGTATTATAATCAGTGAACTGGACACTTGCCTAGTTGTAAACAAGCTAATGACGCCCTCGGCCAATTCTTCTTTGTTGAGGCCTCAAAGTGATAGCAGTGACCACGGAATGGAATCCAAGATTTCTCTACTGATTCGGGGCACTTTCCTGGTTCTTGAGGTGGTACAGTAGGTGGCAGCACTGTTTTTAAAAAGCAATATTATTTTCAATTCAAATTAATTTCATTTAGTTTTTCATTTGAGAGATGCTTATGAGAAGCCTTAGCAAAACTTACAGTGCTTTCTAGTAAGCATCTATGTCCTTTTTTACATTTTTATTTAACTGTTTAACTACTTTTTAATTTTATACCAACACGTGTAAATATGGGTAGAGCTTTGATCGTGTGGTTGTGGCCACCATCTTCACACTTCTATGGACATACATTCCCTGATATATGCACTGTTGTGTGTGCAGCTCTCCCTAATATGTACTTTTTTGCACATAGTCATTGACTCCAAATATGGATCACAAAATTGAGAGAAATGCAGGATCTGAAAGATAATTTTGTTCCAGTCTGTACAGTAGTCTTTTTAAGTCAGACCGCTTAAAGGGCAGACTAAATTCTCCAGCCTTTTTCCTATTTAAACACTGTTGTGGTTCTCATACTGACTTAACTGGCATCAAAAGACAGAGGTCCTCCCATCCAAGTTCTACAGTTTAAGGACCTGGTCTTCTCCTGTGACATTATCCTAGCCATCCTGGTTGCATTTGTGATCTCTTTAAGTTTTTAAAGCTAAATCATGAATTCCCCTACATCAGAGGTGTAGAACTTGTGATTCCACCCCTCTCCCCCCATGTCGCTGAATTACAACTCTCAGCAAGCATCAGTATTAGCCATGCTGGCTAAGTCTGCTTGGGCATGTAGTTCAGCAATATTTTCCTATGGCCACCCTATAATATTCCCAGAAGTCTTTAAAAATGAGACCTGTGCAACATTTCACAACTTAAATGGAGGGATATTCCCTGTGAAAAGTAACCTAAATATCTAGTGCACATTTCCAAATGATTCCAATTTGTGGCATCTCAGCATATCTGGAGGACACCAAGTCTGGAGAAAACTGGTTAGTTGATGATATGCTGCTTTGATCTGAATGAGAAACCATTAAGAAAAAGCTTTGCCTTTCCTTTAACTTACCACTGGAATGTTTACAAAGGGGAAAATAATTTTTATTGCATAAGTCTGTCTTCCAGGTCCCATCCAAGTCCATATAAACGCAGCCGTATCTTTGTTTGGGTTCGTTTGCTGCCCATTTAGTGTACTTCATTCTGAATCTATCAATCCATAAGTATTGCCCACCAGTCTAAAAAAAAAAAAAAAGTAGCACATGTTGAATGAGAGCCATGTTCCTTGTTAGAGATCATTAATCTGAGCAAACCGGATTGAGTCAGGAATGTTACATTATTGTTTCACTAAAAATTTATCTGAACTGATTAAATTCCTGCTCAGAATTTAGCCTGTATTTGCAATAGCAACAGCAATCCAATCTGAAGCACGGGTAGTAAAGTAAATGCAGTGTGGGTTGTTTTATATGGTTCTTTTCACAAACAGCACTAAGCCGTAATGTTTGCTATCGTTGTTTTACTTAGCTTGTTGTATGAATCCAGTCATTCAGGTTAAATGGTTTATGGCTTCGTAGACCAGCATTGAAAGGAAATTAGGTTCCATCCTCTGAGATCTGAAGCAGAGGAAGGGAATGGGCTGGTGCACATTTCTATACCAGGCCTGGCACTGAGGCTAGAGGTGGCTATTTGTCCCATGGAAAAGCAAAATAGCTTTCATCTGTGGCAACAGTGATGGCCAAGACTCAGGTCTAGCAAGAATGACTATGTCTAGAAGTAATCCGATTCTTTTAGACAATTTGTAATCCATTAGGTCCGGAATGGTTAGCTGAGTAAAGGTGACATAAACCTGTTGTTAATACTGTAGATAAAAATGTATCTTGAGAACTGCTATCACAATTGTGCTACTGAATTGACCTGAATGTAGCCATTCAGACAAGTGGTTTACGTGTGTAATTCTCTGTCCCTCATTTATCCACATTCTTTCTGTTCTCTACGGAAAATAAATGTCAGAGCTATTGCTTCTGAAGGTAATCAGAAGAGCTTTTGAATCTAGGTACCATCCCATTACCCATTAAGCAGTTCATAATAAATACTTTGCAGACTTTTTGCCATACCAACTTAGTTCACGCAACATGCTAAGCTAATGATCTGGGTAAAGAGAACCTCTCTTCTTCTATGGCCCCTTAAACCAAACTTAAGACTAATCATACTGTGAGAACATAGAGTAACTATAATTTCCAGCTGATGCTAGTTCAGATTTGAAACCAAGAGAAGTCTTTGATTCCAAAATCTAATCCCCAATAACTAGAAATGGCAAATGCTCTGGGTTCACATGGAAAATTTAGCTTTCAGTAAACTCTGACCTCGGTTAAAGGCTATGAGTGATAGAAAGACCAAGATGGCACCAGTCTGGTACTCTGTCATGCAAACTGCTTCAGAATAAGGTTTGCTTATTTTATTATTAAGTCTGTTCTGAGAATCCATACGCTATAGATTAGTATTATGCATGAACCTGGCCACTAAGGTGGGTTTAATAAACAAATGGATAAAAATCCTGGCGTATCAGTATGTGTGAATACAGACTCTAGTCTGGGAGGGCAAAGTAACATTAGACTGACTGAAGGTATAGCTAATCATTATTTCATTCATCTAATTTTCTAATTTTCATTTCTATTGAATTGATTAAGTGCTATCCAAAATTAATGGCATTCTCTTGAATGCTCCAAGATAAATAAACAAATAGAAATTAGAATATATGGAACTCTATGGACTAATACAAGTTGCATTTACCAGATTGCTGTTGAGGCCAAGCCACACAGCCCTTTTTTGTTTTAATATTTTTAGCCAGAGGTATGAGAGGCCAAAGGGATCTAAAATACTAGCAAGAGTTGAGTCTTTCCTTTCACAACTGTTCTTCGCATCTTCCCATGTCATTTTGGTTTCAATGATGAAGTAGCTGCTATTTCTATAATGGAAACGCTGTTCTGGGGTAGTTGATGGAATTAAAGAGTATCTGGGGTCTACAAAAGAAAAGAAGATTGTAAGCTTCTTTTAAAAAATGATAAGACATAAAATGCAAAAATGAGAAAACCCCTTTCTAGAAATATGGTAGCAATGATAGATGGTATTTTATTTATTTATTCATGTTTATATTTCAAATTTGTCACCACCATCTCACTGCAGAGCGACTCTATAAACTGGCATTTGTTTTGGGCAGGACGGGCATAAAATGGGAAATGTGTTTTTATTTCAAGATCAAAGCAAATAGCACCACTTGAAACATGTTCAAGTATTTTGGTCGCAGAAAACAATGGGAACTTGAAAGAAGCCCATTTCTCCCTTGTTTTTTATTCCAAGACCAGGTGATAAAGGAGATGCCTCCATCACTTCTTGGCTGGGCTAATGCAATTCACTCTACATGGGGCTGTCCTTGAAGACCACTCAGAAGTTACAGGTGGTCCAAAGTGCAGCAGCTTAAATAGTATGGGCTTGACTCAGTTGCCCTATGATATCTTTACTTTAAGAGCTGCAGTGGCTACTAGGTGCAATTCAAGATGCTAATTGTTACTCTTAAAAGTGCTGTATGGATCAGGACCTGAGTATCTTTGAGACCATCTGCTCTGAGTAAAATTTGCCTGTCTGGTGAGATCTGATAGACCAGACTTGCTGGTCTGGACCATGGACCATAGGGGACAACCATCCCCATGGTTACATCTCTCCTCTGGAACAGCATACACTCAGATTTAAGGCTGCCCCATCCTTTCTAGTGTTCTGGAAGGTAGTTCAGACTTGGCTTTTCCAAGATTTGAAGGACAATGTGAATTTTGATTACTCGCAAAATAAATGAAGTAGTGGCAGTTAGTGACTGATGAAATTTTACATGAATTTGTTGTGCATTTCAACTTTATTGCTGTATTAATCAAATATTAATACAGCAATAAAGACATTTTTCAGCTGGAAAGGCAAGTAAGTAAATAAATAAAACTCATAATTATTATTCTGCACCACTGTTATGCTCTGAGTTCAAAAGTCATCATGATCCGGTTGTTGTATTGAAACATTGAAAAAAATCAGAGAAATTTAAATCAAGGTATGCATTTTCTTTCAAAAAGGAAAAAAGAAAGAAAAGGAGAGGAAGCAAAGATAGGCAGAAGTACTCACGAGTGTTGGTTTGACATATGTAACCTTTCTTACTGGAACAATACATATTTCTCCATAAGCCTGCGATCTTATAAGGCCATGTTTTCATTACAACACAGTCTTCCTGTATGAAATGGAAAACAACAACAAATGTTGAAAGTGGTACGGATAAACTCCTTAGTTCCTCAACCATACCGATTTAACAGCCATGGGCAAGCAGGGAAAATGGGTGGAGGAGGATGCAGAATGAGTCACCATGACTTCTGGCACCATGGAGAAGCAAGAATGTTATATGCCAAGTTGCCCATGATGTCACTTTTGTCACAGATGACCTCATCAGCTGCGCACTGCAAATGGTAACACACATACACACACCCAATCACAGCTCAGGCCTAGCTCCCACAGGACATTCCTGGAGATTCATTTGGATGTATTTGTCAGGATATGACAAATCTGGGACAGAATCTGGAAATGTCAGTTGTAATAGCTGCTCCTTATATGCTATCTTATTATAAGGCCTGCCATTCATCAAGGCAATTTCATTCACAGAGAGCATTGAGTTATTTGTTTTCCTCACAGAGAGGATTGCTCAAGATCAGAGCTTGCCTGGGTAACAGTCAGAACAGCCATGTGCCTAGCTGCTATCCTTGGCTCTTTTTTCCCAGTCTGCAGGATGCCCCTTACTTGCCTCTGCCAGCTGAGTATTTAGATCCTACTCTCAAAAGAAGTATCTTTGGGGTTTGATCTGCAATATTGCCTCTGCTGATTTTTTTCTGCTCATAGGCATGTGCAACGCTTTGCACTTGAGGTGAAAGGTGCTGTGGAGTGGACGGGGTGCTAACATAGCACCTGTCTGCAACTCCTTCAAGCAGCCATACCCTTTCCTGTGATTGCTTAGCTGCCCTCTGCAGCTGCAGCAAAATCCTGAGAAAAGAAACATTTAGTTTTAGGAACTGCAAAGAGGTGTCCTATGTGCACTCCTATGTGTTCTGAAGTACATAGGAGCATATTTTGCCTTCAAATCTAAATCAATCAAATCAAGTCCCTAACTGCTAGAAGTTAACTTCTCCACTGAATTATTTTGCCTGCTCAAGTTGCTTTTTCCTTCTAACCGTGTGGCTCTAACTTCACGCTCATACAAAAGAGGTTGAGGGGAAGAAGACAAAGCAAGGAAGATGGGAGCAGTTTCCATCATGTACATCAGGTAGTCAAATACCTACACTGCTTGATCCAAGAGTCCATGGGAATCCTTTGTCCCAGTTTGTGTAATGGACTCCTTTTCCATCTGTCCAGAGGTACATTTGATCCTCATTGATGTCATTTAGTCCTATCCATACATCCTTTCGGAAATTATTTAAATGGAAGGTGAGAAAGGCTAAAAAGAAAAAGAGTGATAGGGGAAGAATGTCATCTGAGAAAGGAGACATATCTAACATTTGGGACAGCATGAAACCAAAGCAAATACTTCACTAAAAGAAAGAAGAAGAATTTCTAAATGAACTAAAACATCTTGAAAACTACACTTAAATAAAAATACATAATGAGTATGAGAAATAAAAGTCACAAACTAAAGTTTGAAACTTTGTTTGGAAAATGTAGAGAGAAGTATGGGAAGTGAACAGACACACCTTGAATGTTATCATTCCACTGAGATACTGGCTATATTTAGATAATTTGCCATTATTAATGCAAGGAGACTTAAGTGTTTACATGTATATATACATTTATTTTTATGTACTGATTAAATTATTTTAACCTACCTTTGATCCTAGAGCAATACAACTGAATCATAAAACATCATAATACATGTGTGTATATGTATGTGTGTGTGTGTAATCGCTTTATTTAATCAATTTGTATGCCAGCTCAATCACAGAAGCAACTCTATGTGGCTTACACATTATATGAGTGCAAAAATCTGTAAATATGGATGTACAAATCCTTGGAAAGTGATGCTTTTGAGCATTCAAGGGCACATATAAAGCATATTTTTTTCAAATTGTTAAAGCAGCCATGTGTTTTTCAGGACTGTTCCTAGCTGTCTTAGCATGTAGAGCCATCAGGGAAAATGCAAAGCAAAACAAAGGCTTTGCACAGCTCTAATAAATATATACAGCAGGTACATTTCTTCTTCTTTCCTCTTAATGTGAAAGGGGAACATATGAAACTTTCATTTGTAATTTCTGCCAAATCACAATTTTTCATTTTATCTCAAAGATGCAAAATGACTTGTACAACTACCTTTGCCCCTGGCTCAGGTTTGCAGGCAAACATAGGTTTACCATTACATCTAAGTAATAATAAGAAAAACAAGGGGGAAGAGAACAGAAATAGTTGCAGTAGGAGTAGTAATAAGGGGAAAAATATAAATGAAGGTATTATAATCTCCGGTTTAAAATTCTGGGTTCACAATGGTATTTTAAGACTCCATAGAAGGCCCATCAATGGCATATTCATCCCATAAAATATAGTCACCCCAAAGATTATGTAAGACTTCATAATTAAGTAAGCTTTTATTAGTTGACATGGTTCTTATATACCTTGTACCCTTTCATTGGGTATAGTAGCCAGGTTTCCTCCAAATTCATCTTTCTGACAATCGCTCCGTGCAGCTTTCCAATTTTTTTGTTCCTCTTCTTTGATCCCAAAGAATTTATAGCACTTATTAAAAAATCCAAATGCAAGAATAGAGAAGTTGAGGTGAATCTTTGGTGAGGTCCAGGCAATATGCAGGCCTTTTCATATATCAATCTCCTCCTATTTATTTTTTCCTCAGTTCCATTACCCTACCCTTTGCTAATCTTGCTAATCTTGGTTTATGTCAATCTCAGTTGGATTTTGTGTGTGTGTGTGTGGTTTACCTTGAGAGAGCCAGTTTGGTGTAGTGGTTAAGGTACCAGGCTAGAAACTGGGAGGCCATGAGTTCTAGTCCTGCCTTAGGTTGGGTGCCAGTAGGGTGATCTTGGGCCAGTCATGCTCTCTCAGCCCTAGGAAGGAGGCAATGGCAAACCACTTCCAAAATCTTGTCAAGAAAACTTTAGGGATTAGTCCAGGCAGCTGCCAGGAATCAAAAACAGACTTGAAGGCACCAAAAAAAAAAAAAAAAGCCCTTGAGAGTATCTAGCTCATTTGGTGAGTGCATAGTTAAATAAACTATATGAACCCATAAAACTGGTTAATTAAATGTATGTAGTATGATTTCAGTCTTCCTGTGCCAAGCAGAACCCCAAGTGTTTGCTCCCTTCCTTCTCAGAATACAAACATTTTTTACTAGTGTATCTTGGTGCTTGCATGCGCTTGGAGGACTTTAGGCAGTAGGATGGCTAGTTGTATGTTTGTGCCAGGCATCTGCATGAACGCATTGCCCTTGAGCTTTCATTGGTGACCCAAGGCACCCCTTGGAACCTAAAAAAGATTTCCCCCTCATGAGTCAGAGCCACGTTCTCCAATAATATCCCACATGTCAGCAGCTTTGCATTTTTCTTTTCCTTGGCACCATTTTCGGAAGTGATTTGCCCTTGCCTCCTTCCTAGGGCTGAGAGAGAGTGGCTGGCCCCAGTTACCCAGCTGGCTTTGTGCCTAGGCGGGACTAGAATTCACAGTCTCCCAGTTTCTAGCCTGTGCCTTTAACCGCCACACCAAACTGCCTCTAGCTTTGTATTATGAACACATTATTTCATTTTTAATTGTTTTAGAAATACATAAGGTTGCAGACAGTAAAAGCAATAGTAAAATACAATTCAAAAACCAAACAGCCAAAAGAAAAGCAAGCATTAAAAAGCAAACACACCACCCACTCTGCCACCCGTTCTAACCCAAAGCCTGGGGAAAGAGCCCGCTTATCCTGGCTCTTTTGATGGGGGCCACACATAACTCAGCTGCGAGGGTGTTCCAGAGCGCAGTGCTTGTGACAGAGAACAATCTCAGAAGTGCTTTTCTAAGTACTGCTCACCTTGATTCTAAGTAGGTAGCAGCATCTGGCTGATTTTGCAAAAGATACCCAAGATTGGACCTAGTTGGTACTTGGAGAGGAAACTGGCATGTAACCTTTACCAGGAAATCAAAAAAGATCCTAGAAAACCGCTAGGACAAAGTGCTTCCTTATTGTCACCAATGAAATTGAAGGAATTGACATTGGTACTGATAGGCGAAGGAGCAAGGAAGAGCAAACCCATGAAAGCAGAGTAGTCCCACCCGTTTTCATGCACGCATTGCAATGGGGTGCCCACGGACGAAATGGACAGAGCTTGCAGGATGATAATTGCACACTGCTTTTGACATTTCAAGAAAAGCAGCAAGATCTTGTGGATGCCACCGAGAGTCATGCTTAATGTGAAGGAGCCACAAATTCTTTTGTGACGCCATCTTGTCAAGACACTTATTTTAATCATCTAAAAAATAATAATAAATCCTCCACAGAAAGTCCCTCCTCATCTCTTTATCCTTTTGTTTCCTGGAGTGATTTTTTTAAAAAGGAGATAATTACTACACCTTGTTTTCAAACAAAAACCAAGATTCAGGGCATCCTCCTTGAGTGGAAGGTGGTGTGGGGGCAACAGTTGCATTGATTGAGCTGTTGTGTCTTTCACATATGAAAGAAGATGGGTAGCCACAGTTTATATCATTCCAAAGCCCTGTGCAAGAGAAAAGAAATGGTTGGATGTGAGCGGGGGTGGGGGGGCTTCAGAGTGGTCAAAAAAGTGAAGAAGGTAAGCCACAACCCTGAAACCAAAGCCCCACCCCTTTCTAATGTATGTCCTGAGGGTAGCTAAAATCAACTGTCACCTACAACTTGATAAGCTGCTGTTGCATCCACTGACAGACAAGGAGATCATTAAAGGATCATTTATTTAGGAAATCCACAAACCTGGATTCATCCATGCTAGAAGTGAATTGAGGTCGCTATGTTAATGGGTGTAAGACAGATGTGTGCTATCCTCAAATGCCTCTTAGCCTGCATGTGACCCAGACCCTTTAATCTGCATAAATTGCCCAATCATAGTAAGGTCCTGTATTAGGAATCAATTCCTTTCTATTGTATTTGCTATAAAACAGTAAAGTTATTTAGTTTTTAAGAAAATATGGAAAGATACAAGTTAATGCTGTCTGACTGATGAGACTCCAGATTTCAGATCCACCTATTCTGAGCTCAGAATAGTAAAAAGAGGTTTCAAACGCAGCTGAAGGTTGGGCAAAGTTACGAGAAAGACTATGTGACTAGCATATGAAACAAAATCTAACATTCATATGCTAAACAGCACTGCAGGGAGTCAGACAGCTTCTTCCTTTAGCCAATCAGCCTACTCCAAATGCCTTTCAAGTTTGGGAAAAGAACCACAGCAACCACAGCTGGCTGTCCAATCCATACAAGTAAATGTCCTAAAAACAGCAAGTCTCAAGCCTTTGAACAGGAATCTGAGCATGCTAGCTGGAGTCATGTTCAAATAACATATGCATACTAGAGCCGCCTTTCCAAAGCTCTTGATACTGCTAGAAGACAACGCTGACGACCTAGATCAGTGTTGTCCAAACTTGGCCACTTTAAGATGAGTGGACTTCAACTCCCAGAATTCCCCA